TTGTGACGTAGTCGTAGTCGTAGTAGCAGTAGCAGTGCATCAAAAGGAGCAGCAGCAGCAGCAGCAGCAGCAGCAGCAGCAGCATCAGCATCAGCATCCGAGGCAAAATGAAAAACTGCGCGGCACAAACAAGCGGCATGATGTTGCTGAACTCTTCTGTGTGCAAACAGTGGCCGTTTACCCTCATGCAGCCTGCTTGTTGGATCCAAGGCCGGATCGCCGCGAGGAAGCCAGAGTTGGTGCCTTCCCATGCTGTCAGGCATGTTCGTCTGTGTGTGGTCGTGCTAGGAGGTCTTTGGGAGATGAGGGATGCATGTGTCGGAAGCTTTGCGGCCATCACCTACATTCCTGCAGAGAGCCCCTTGGGCGTGCTACCGCCAGAAGCGTACGATAGTTGAGAGCTGCAGTGGTTCGCAAGCAACCCCATGATGTGACAAGACAAAACCATTCCCTCTACCCACAGACATGCCTGGAAGACTCTAACTTGACGCAAGGCAGCTTCGCGAAATCAGGGAATGCACCCGCCCTCTACCTACAGTCTCCATTGTAGTNNTTTAACCAATTATATATGAAGGATTGTACACGGTATCCTCAAAAAGGAACTACAACGGAGACTATAGGTAGGACCCTGGTCCATGTGAAGCATGCCTCGCTGTTTTCCACCACAAGGGGCTTCCCGAGTCCTTGCTGCAAACAGACGGCGCACTATGTCGGGCAGCCAGAACGGCTATAGGGTTGATTACAGTGGATGTACCAAAGGCCGCCAACTTTGATGGATGTAGCCATGCAGAATACTGCTACTTTTACGAATTACGGTTAAGTTTTGTCTGTTCAGCCGCAGTGCCCGAAAGCCTAACCGCCAAGCTTCACGACGAGCTCACAGGAGTGTTTGAGGTAGCTCGACGGCAACTTCTACACGTCCCGCACACGGGCAAGTGCCGTACCGCCGCCAACTTGCATTTTCGTGAGCTGTGTGTGTGTATGCATACACAGATATATATAAATATATACATATATGTTTGCATATATATATATATACAAATAAATGAATAAAATACCTGTTCTATATATATATATATATATATGTGGTTTGTTGATTAGGTTTATTGGTCTCCAGGTCCCCCCCTTCCACATTAACAGTAAAGGTTTCATTGCAGCACATCTGCTAAGCTATGGGATTGTGGAGGTGCTCTGGCAAGCAAGGTCTTCGTCCATCAGCCTGCTCTTAGGACTCGTTTTTACACGCATTCAGAAATAACGCCCGTAAAAATGAATCTATTGTCATGGATCTCAAGAGCACATACCCATTGAACCCAAACTCCTGAACTCCATAAGCCCAAGTATGGAGGTCTGCAAAACTAGCAATACTGATGTACAAATATTGTCCAAGCATTGAGCCCCCTCTCTTCGCCTGGGGAACCCCTTTCCCCTTCTCTTTATCCCAACACACGAGGACCTCCCCCCCCCCCCTGAAATTGGATTTCGGCTCACCTGCGATCGGGCCGAGACGGACGACGCGAAGCGTTTCCTAATTAAAGCCATTAAAACCTAGGCCTTCTGATACCCGTAAGTACCCCCCCTGCAAAACCTTCTGAAGCCAAAAATCTGGATAAGCACAGGCTGTGCTCCCGACTGTTGGCAAGCCTCATGGCCGCAGGTCGCTGGGCCACTTCGAACCTTTCAGATAAACTATAGTATACTATCGTATACTATAATAGACTATAGTATACTATAGTATACTATAGTATACTATAGTATGCTATAGTATACTATAGGGTTTTGGTGCTCAAGTTTTGTATGATGCTTTCAGAGAGCTTAACCGGGCTACATTAGGGACAAATGAGATAGAACTTTGGTCTCCGGTATAAACCATAATTATGCTACGGACCGTCAGCCGTCATCGGATCCTAGTAACAGATATTTCGACCCCTGTGTTTGCTGAAACTTGGGGTTGGCATTAGCCGGGTTTCGGTTCTAGGTAGTATTAGATTACTAAGATCTTTAGGGCCTTTAGGGATTCACAGGTTGTGCCGTGTGGGATTTTGGGCCTCGCGATGTTGGTATGTTCGAAGAAGCTTTTTCTTGATGCAGTGGCGAAGCAACTGCCGTCCGCTTCTGGACTTGGCCTAGGCTGCTGCCGTAAGCTGCCGACAAGTGCCCAGTGAGGAACACGGAGTCGGTGTAGCCAAACTCATAGAGGACGCTTTGCGAGGCCCTGCATGTCAAAAATCTGCCAGATAGTTAGGAGAACACAAGCTATTGTCAGCAAATGATGCATGAAACTGTCACACCACTGCCCTTTCCTCCATGTCTGCGGGTGAAAGCTGTGCATCTCTGTGCCACGCGCCGAATGCGTATCTACCCCATGCTTTGGGAGTGGTTATTATATGAAGTGAGAGAGACTGCAATGTGACAAGCAGCCCCAAAGCTGTGGAGTGGGCAACTGTACATGGTGGTGTGTTGGGGGGCCGTGGGGATTGTTGCACGAGAACGGAACAGAGTGTGTTTAATCTGAGCTTTTCGAGAAAAGACGTGTACTGTCAAGCGTCGAGATACTGTCGAGATGTTCAAACTCCAATCTGATTGGTATTCGAACTTTCGGGCTATAAGCTCTGCTCAGTCGAGACAAACTTCCTCAGGTTCGAGTGGTGCAGAGAGAAACCATCCATGGACCAAGCATGCCGGCCTCCAGCCAGTAATCGCATTTCGTTGAGCGAGTGCCTGCATCGCCGTAGTACTATCAGTAGTAGTGGTAGTAATGGTAATAGTAACAGTAGTAGTAGTAGTAGTCGTCGTCGTCGTCGTCGTCGTCGTCGTCGTAGTAGTAATATAGTAGGAGGAATACTGGAGTGGCAGTACCATAAATGTAAACAATTCTTATGCATCGCCTGCTCGATGTAGCCAGCAAGAGTAACGCACTCGGCATCCGCGAGGGCAGTGGTCCGGAGCTTGACGCTTTCCTCGCGAGATAGCAATAGTTATGACAACAGCATGACAGATGCACTTCCAGACATGAACCACTTCAGAATATTTCTCACCGTCTATGCATGGTTTATGCTTGAGATGCAGATATATGGGCAGAATGAAACCTTGGGATCTTGGGTTGTCGCGACTGTACTTTTCATGTTGAGTCTCTCATCCTACAGCCGTTGCGGCTCAGGCCAGCAGGATCAGGTATTGGCGGCCAGTAATAAGCAAGCGGGCACAAGAATCCAGAACACTTGCCAACATCCCAAACACTTCTAGAATCTGCACGACATACCCAAAGGAGCCTCGGATCCTTTCAGGGTCCCTGCACTTTCCTCACATGCATCTGTCCTCTGGGCGCTTGCGGCCCATGATGATGACGTTCCTGGCCGCCTTGGGAGCTTCGGCGTTTCGGAGGAGGAAACCGAGGGCCGGAGCCAAGGGGGTTCTGAAGATTATGGATCATGTAGGGGCCTTAATAATTAGAATATGGTGTTGGGGCCCATTATACTATAAAGATAATAAGGAACCCTCAAACTAATATAGGAAATTATTGAGGCCCCTATATTCCTTAGGAGTTCCTACAAGAAGGACTGTATGCGCTCGCTCTCTCTCTCTCTCTCTCCACATTTATTGTTCCTCGTTCTCTGAGACTGTTAGATCACATTCACATCCCTACTGCTAGGCGACTTGTTCACAGTTTCCGGGTCCCCGCCTCCACCCCGGCGTGCATCAAATTCTTGGTGTTGGTCAGCTTCCCCACAAGGAAGCAGCAACTCTGGTCCTGCACGCGAGAATCTATGTAGAGATTCCTCTCTATTAATGTTAGGCTAGCGGCGCACCACCACACACTCAAACAACCAAGTCGCATTTTCGGGTTAGACTTCATGCAGATTTCATCCTTTACTCTAGCCTACCTAGCTTCATCATGGCCAAGCCTTTCAGAAACAAGTTACACTTAACCACCTTTGCAAAACCTCAAAGCCGGTTCTTCTAGCCCAAGAGCCCGCAGCCTTAACGCCCCCTAAACCTTTAAATGCATGAGACCCCTCCACCACGCCCACGCCCGGAGCCTGATAACCTCAAGCCTAGGAACTTAAAAACTTCAACTCCAACCCTGTGCCGCCAACTTTTCCGATGTGCAAGAGAAGCCCCCCCCCAAGGACATAACCAGGAGCATCCCTGTCAAAATCGCCGAAAGAGGGCCGCTCTAGGATCTTTAAGAAACCCTCATGCGACACCTTCCCTAGGCCCATTCAACCTCCACAACAAGCCTTGGAGAATCTTTGTAAAGCCCGTGTTAGTGCCCCCTAAACCCTTAACATATGGGCCTTAATAATTACAATAGGGTTTTGGGGCCCATTATACTATAATTATCCTAAGGAACACCCAAAATAATATAGGTTATTATTGAAGAACCTATATTACTTAGGAGTTCCTACAAGAAGGGCTGTATCTCTCTCTCTCTCTACATTTATTGTCCCTCGTTCTCTGAAACTGTTAGATCACATCCCTACTGCCAGGTGACTCTATAGCCCCCTACATTAAACGCCTTAGGGTTTAGGGTTTAGGGGGGTTTAGGGTTTAGGGTTTAGGGACCCTAAACCCTAAACCCTAGTCGGGAACAAAGGAGCCCTCTCCTCCCACTCTTCCAAAATGCTCGAAGGCGGATGTACTCCTGGCAATCGCGTCCCCGGGAGTTCTGGGTTCTTTGAGCGCCGCCAATCCAGGTCTAGGGTTTTAGGGTTTTAGGGTCTAGGGTATCGGCTTGTGTAAAACGCGGTCTAGAGCGTAGTAACCTAAACCCTAAACCCTAAACCCTAAACCCAATAACCCTAAAGATGGTGTCGGAACCTGACTACGAAACCCTTGGCTCAAGCCCAACATGGGCTTCGGGTGTAGACCTTAGGGCTTCAGGGCTTTCAGTGCAAGAAGGGGTTAGGTTTTAGGTCCTAGCGCTTTCGATAAGATTTCTGTAGTACTTTAAGGTTGCATCAGGGCTCCACAAGTTTCAACGATCTTTGGTGGCTTGAGTTGTCTTGCCGGATGGTTTGGGCCCAGTCTTCCACAGCCGAGCCCTGAATGAATCTAACGACTGCGGATTTTTAGCCCGGCCCTTCATAAACCCTACATTAGTCCCAATGTAATTAAACCTAGTTTTTGCTCGTGGTCCGGACAGCACGATGATCGCTTTGTCGAGGATCTTGGACTGCTGGTGGAAGTAGTGGAGGAAGCAGACCTGAAGCGATTTGCTATAGCGGCCTTAATGCAGGATGGGTGGTATTCGGGGTTTGCAGTTGAGGCCCGTTCAGGCTTGGCTTAGAGCTGTAAGGCTTGAGGGTTTTGGCGTTGTAGGCATGGCTCTGGCATGCGCCGCACGGGCTGATTCTGTAGCACGTTCCGAATTCGGGATTTGGAGCTTATGCAAGGTGTTCGGTTTTGTGGCTGGCACAAGCATACAATACTATACGATCATTCCCAAAACCAAACACTTTGCTCGGCACGAGCCCCAAAGCCTTAAAAAGAAGCCATAAACGTCACTGCAGGAGACCTGAAGCTTAATTGACAAGGGAAGGTTCTGGGCAGGCATGGCCCCTGCCGGTTTGGGGTTTAGCTATAGTCTCCATTGTAGTTCCTTTTTTCGGTTTAACCAAATTTATACTAAAGGATCCTAACCATAAAATTGGTTAACCAAAAAAAGGAACTACAATGGAGACTATAGGTACTTTGGGGGCCCAAATACCTGCCTAAAGTAGCTACCATGTTAGTACCCTAAACCCTAAACCCTAAACCCTAGTACTTGGGACCCTTTGGGAGCTGGATCAAAGCGGGAGTCTCGGATCAAAACCCGCTACGTCTCCGGGGCTGCCGCCATGTTCACTGGGACTCGGGTCTGACATCATTCATGGAAGGTCCCTCCGGTAATCGAGAATCAGTCAGGGTTTAGGGTTTAGGGTTTAGGGTTTAGGGTTGTTTAGGGCTTAGGATTTAGGGTTTAGGGTTTAGGGATTAGGGTTTAGATTTTAGGGTTTAGGGTTTTGGGGCATCGTTGTTTTTGACTTTAGTGACCTGGCATGGTCTTAAGTATCCATGGGTTGATGCATCTCATGCTACACTCTTGTACTGGTTGATGCTTGGGTTGTTCGTGGTGGTGCTCGTCATCTTCGCCTCACTTGTTCTGGAGACAATTATGTACTTTGGCAGACGAGGGGCTACTTGCTCCCAAATGGGCTGGCTTTCCTCATGGAACCTGAAGTCTTGTCAGGGTGAGGGGTCTGAGGTCTTGGAACACGGCATTACCTTTTGCAATCATTTTCTGGGACAACAAGGTGCAGAGCTACAGCGCGGGCACTGTCGAGGCTGTTCTCTCCAGGAGGGCGGGGAACAGTCTGTAGAAAACCTCTTTCCTTGAGTGCAGTCTCTTGCGAGCTCTTTCCTCCAGATGATGTTTATTCCGAGAGTTAGACACGATGCAGAGGCAGCAGCAACAGACGGCAGTAATAGCAGGCGTGGTGATGACATGTCTCAGCTGCAACTGCAGCTCAACGGAGCAACTCAACCAACCACTTCCCATGTGCACATCCCACCCGCTGCTGTGGGCTACCTGCGACACTCCGGAATGCCGAACGCCGGAACGACCCGTGAAGCCGCCGGCGAGTAGGCAGGATATTGTAAAGAAACATCGAGTATGTCTAAGCAAGGACAATGAATAGCTATAACGATGTACTGCGCGCACCGCTCCTGCTGATTCTGCCAGAAGTACCAAAGCCACAGTATCGGAGTGTTGTGACGGTAGCACACGTATACCAAACACATATTGCTAGCAACCCTTTGCAACCAGAGCAGTGCCGAAAAATCCGTGGGCCGGCCGGGCAACACCACCAGCACTGTCAGCCTGGGATGCCCCTTCAAGAGGTCCAGGTCCGGTGCCTCAGAACGGGTTAGGGTTTAGGGTTTAGGGTTTAGGGTTTTGGGAACATTGTTCTTACAAAGCCTGCTTGCACTACACACTCTTGCCGACCTGGGCCCTAAGCCCCAAACCCCTTAAACCCTAAACCCCTAAACCCTAAACGCCTAAACCCTGTGCGGTCGCTGCTCTCAATCGTTGAATCTCCGAAGGCCATGCGGAGGGTTGCCAGTTTCAGTACTTCATCAACGACCTCACCACGCTTTATCCTACGGTCTTGGAGCCAAGAAACTGGGCCAAAAACCCAAAGGGTCTGGTCCTACTACGCGGTGAGCCAAAAACACCTTAGCTAGCCGACACCCTACAAAATTCTAAGACCTTAAAACCTTCGTTGGAAGGACATCAGGAGACCGCGCATGCACGTATTTCGAAGCCTATGCGTTACTTGTCCGAGTCCCTAAACCCTAAACTCCGAAACCCTGAACCCAGATCCTTAAGCCTCAATCCCAAACCCTGTAAGTTCCCCTTCTGCCGACTGCCACCCATCAGACAGTCCGAAACTCGTAGAGTGGCCCATATAGCACGCTTTTATAGTAATCCCTATCGTACTCCTTAAACTAACACTTGAAGTACCCTCAGCCCCAACTCAGAATCGTTCGAACCCTCTGAGATGCTCGCGGCTCGAGATGCCTCGCAGTGGCATGGGTTGGCTGTTCTACGGTACGGGCCTTTCTTTGGGGGCGAGGGAGGGGTACAAAGGACTAGTGACTAGTGACTCGTAAGTTTGGGTTTGGTGTTTAGGCAGTTTCGTGTTAAGCGTTGCTAGTACAATGGCACTACCGATACCCTGAAGCGGCGTGTTGCGTGAGGACATGACGACAGAAGCCTCGCCCATCAAGCCTGACAGCTCCCGGGGCGCAGCAAGATGCGCCGGTTTGAACAAAGGGGCCCCTCCGCACCTCATGGCCCATCATTCCCTTCAAGCGACCCACTTTGACGTCGCTGTCCTTGCTTGAACTGCTTCGGCGACAGGTGCACTCGAACATTCCGTAAAGGAGGTGCCTTTGGTAGAGGGGACGTGAACTAAACAGGTAGACAGGACAAGGAAAGACACGACAGGACAGGATACTACACCAATTAAGACAACGATAAGATCAGATAAGTCAAGGCAGAACAAGACAAAGTCACGATAGACAGACAGATAGTTAGACATGCAAATACACATGCACGGGCACATACACAGCACACACACAAATACATATGCATATGCATATACATATACATGTACACATGCATATCATATACATATACATATACGTACATACATACATACATACATACATACATACATACATACATACATGCATACATGCATAACATAACATAACATAACATAACATAACATAACATAACATAACATAACATAACATAACATAACATAACATAACATAACATAACATAACATAACATAACATAACATTACAATACATTACATTACATTACAATCTATTACATTGCATTGCCTTGCCTTGCCTTGCCTTGCCTTGCCTTGCCTTGCCTTGCCTTGCCTTGCCTTGCCTTGCCTTGCCTTACCTTACCTTACCTTACCTTACCTTACTTCACCTTAGCTTACAGTACATTGCTTACAAACAAGATACGTTTCTGATGCATGCATGCCTACCTACCTACCTACCTACCTACCTACCTACCTACCTACCTACCTACCTACCTACCTACCTACCTACCTACCTACCTATGTTGGGACATGCATGCAGACATACACACACACACAGACATACCTGTACATCTCTCGCTCGCTCTCGCTCTCGCTCTCTCACTCTCTCTATCTGTATATGTTTTTTAAATGCAAGCACGCATATATATATATATATACACACACACACATTGCATGGCAACCGTAATATGCGAACCAAAGATGCAGATGACGATAATGCTGCTGCTGATGATGATGATGGTGGTGATGATGATGATGGAGATGAAGATGACTACTGTCGTTGCTGATGCCACTGATGTTGCTGCGCTGGCTGTCATTGCCACAGCAGTTGCAGTTGCTGTCGATGACTGCTATGCTGTTGTTGCTGGTGGATGCAGATGTGGATGTGGGTGTGGATGTGGTGGTGGATGTGGTGGTGGTGGTGGTGGTGGTGGTGGTGGTGGTGGTGGTGGTGGCGGCGGCTTTGGTGGTGGTGGCGGTGGGGGCGGCTTGCGGCAGCGGCGGCAGTGGTGGTGGCGTGGTCATCGTAGTCGTTCCCGTCGCCGTTGCTACTCCCTCTGCATCGATTACAACTGGACAACCGAAGACCACAGCTGTCACAAAACAGTTGCGCAACAGCCCCAATACATGAAAGAACAAATCCTCAAGAACACCAACCTACTGTAGGTTAGAAAGATATGCTATACTTACCACACGCGGCATGTAAAGTTAGAGGAAATGCAGCTGTCCGACTCTGAATCATAGATATTCATAGATCTTGTGCTCGCATCACCGTCACCAAGCCATTCTTCCACAGAAGTCCTGGCCAACTTGGCAGAGAACCCTAAACCCCTAAACCCCAAACCCGGAAAGATCAAAACCCCAAACCCGCAAAGCCCCGAAAGCCCTAAGCGCCCTAAACCCTGAAAGCCCAACCCTAAACCCCAATCCCGCGGAGAACTCAGAAGTCCTGGCTTACTTGGCGGACCATAGCATCCACCTGTCAGGTAAAAAACTCCAGAGCTTTGGGTTTCTGTAGACTTTTAGGGTTTAGGAGTTTAAATTGGTAGGGATTCAGGGGTTCGGGGGTTTAGAGTGTTAAGGTTCAGGGGTTTAGGTGTTTAAATCTTTAGGGTTCAGGGGTTCGGGTTTAGAGTTTCAAGGTTCAGGGGTTTAGGGGTTTGGAGTTTTAGGATTCAGGGGTTTGGGGCTCGGAGGTTTAGGGAGGGGTGTAGGTTTAGGGGTTTCGGGTTTAGGGGCTTAGGGTTTGGGGTTGCGACTTACGGACACACCGAGAAAAACACTGCCGCGGGCAAAGAGACCGGTTTTTGCCCCCTTCAACCGTTAGGCAAAAGCTTCAGGGCACAGTACTTAAATTAGGGTTTATAGGGTTCAGGGTTTAGGGGTTTAGGGTGTTCATCATCTGAATGCCAATGACAGTACAACCATGGTATGTACTAGTTTGTGTTGTTTCAATTCAACCGGTGCCCATCACTACCACACACAATGAATGCTTTGACCATCGCGATTCTTGTCGTCAATTGCTGACGAGCCGTGTTGCCTAAGGACAAGACCAGCGACGTGCTTCAAATTTCACAGCTCGGCAGTTGCATAGCACGGTCTCACATTCTAAGGCTTCTAGGCGCATCGGGCAGAACACACTTTAGATGTTTGCTGGCTGCTCTAGCATGTGTTTGGAACATGCCACCGGAGTTCGAGCATAGAATGGCCAAACACAGACAGACTCACACAGAACTCTACAGACTGAACTTAAGCAAAATTGAAGATGGGCAGAACAGCCCTACACCCACCACCACAGTTGCTGCCTGAAAGGAGGAGACGCCCTCTGCTGCAGTCCTGTGCCGGCTGGTGAGGTCGAAGGGTCATCTCGTTTAGCTGTACCCTATAAACCCTAGACCGTATAGATCAACCAAATTACAGGGTCGTGACCTGGTTTCAAGCACAGCCTTTTCGTCGTCGTAAAAAAATATCGGGTCCTGGGACGGTTTCCGATGCCCCCTGCAAAGGGTATCCAACCGCTTCCGTCAGCTTAACTCTGAACGCCAATCCCATGTACGCGCAAACCCTAGACCCTAGACCCTTACACCCCATAGTAGTTCCTGTTTGTGGCATCTAGGATCCTATTAGGTAATCCCAAAAAGGAACTGCTTTGCGGCCTATGGGTAATCATCAGAAACACCACGAAAGGGATCCGAACAGCCAACCTCTCCACCTTGCGGGCATTGAAACCAAGCACGAGGCTCATCCTGACGATGACAGTATCACCCCGGCCACGATTGCCGTAATATTGGGGCCTTAATAACAAGAATAGGGTTTGGGGTCCCTTAAAGTATAAGTATAATAAGGAACCCTGGAACAATACAGGTAATTGTTGAGGTCCCCATATTTCTGGCCTTCGGGTCATGACCTTGTGCATCCTCTGGCTGTAGAGGCGGCACACCTTTTGCTGAGGCTTCCAGTCCAGTCGGCGGCAGGGCATTTTCCCCTGCCGGCTAGAAACCCCATGGCCGGGCACATCTGGGACACATCCCGGCGAATAACCACCCGGCGGTGGAGGCCGTGCATGCGGTGCAGACTCGCTTGCCGCAGATCCGACATCGTGTTAAGCCGCGGGCACAAGCAGCACAGTGGCACCGAGCGCAGCTGCCACAGCGTGAGGGGGGGCCCGTGATCGGCGTTTTGCAAGCAATGCAGGATCGGAGTCCGAAGACTGCCTGCAGAGTCTCTCCGGGCCTCAGGCTGAGACAGCCGAGTGGCGTGGACTTTCGGAGCCGGGTGTTCTGAAGGCACAGCTGTATGTTGTCGTGACTCTGTCGTGATACTTGCAACTGCTTTCTCAAGTGGTGCACCGTCTCGCTGAGAACGCAGCTCTTCCGCAGGATCTCTTCCCCAGCAAGGGACACGATGACGAACTCCACCGTGGAATTCCTAACCTCCTCTATCCTCAGATCAATAGAGGACCACACCCTGTCCTCCCCAAGTTGACGCCAACCGGTCGCCAGCAAAACCTGTGTTCTTGTGAAGGGCTTTATGTAAGTTACCACAAGAGGGGTCCATAGTAAATAACATGGTCTTCTCTATGTGGGAACTTAAATTAGACTTCTTAACAAAAACCCAGAAACACTGGGAGCTGCGTCCGCTGTGCATGTGCTACGCACAAAGCCGCAACCTGTCTTGGTCAAGAGGTTGGCCCTGTTCTTGCTGAAGCACCACTCCCCTTTGGCGGCGTAGAGACAAGGCGTGCTGGAGTTGTACTTGCAGTAGACGGGGGAAGTGTCCGTGGAATCTTCCGTGCTCAGTGTATAAAAACCATGCCACGGCTGCACCTCCAAAGAGCTGATCCACAAACACGGGGAAAACAGCTCCTTCAAGTGCTGCGCACGTAGATCTGCGATGATTTGCATGTTCTGGCGTTGCATCTGATCCACTTGGTCAGCCTGGGTCTGGTGAAACCGAGCTCGACGGCTCGCCATGCTCCTCTCCTCCCTTTCCAGGAAGATCTCAAGATCTTTGGCCTGCGTCGCGCGCAGCGCTTCCAGATCCTCCTGGCAGTTGCGGACGGTTTCTGCCATCTCCTGCTTTCGGCGTAAGGCCTCGGCATCGCGGCCACTGGGGCCGGAGGAGCCACACAGGCGCTTTGCTGCTGGCTCAAGCTCGCCTTCGGCGTCTCCTTGCAACGGCCGCTTCCTGTCAGCTGGCACCGCCAGTGTCTCTGTAAGCAAGTCATGCTCTGCAGCTATCAAGATGGCATCCGTTTGCAGCCATTGCTTGTATGCAGCACCGGCCTTGGTGCGTCCAAGCGCAACCGAGGCAGCATCGCGCCAGAATTGCAGACGACTCGATGCTGCAGCCGAAGAAAAGTTGGGAACGAATTCCAATAGCAGGTTTGCGACAGGGCGCAACAGCTGGGACAGAAGCTGTTCTTCTGAGTGCACACGGGCTTTGCAGGATTTTGCAATTCGCCGGACCTCAGCGATGGTCCGTTCGGCTTCTCTGGCCTCTAACTGCTGTGGAAAGCCAGCTCGGGCCAAGCAGGCCGATATGGTGGTGGGCTTGCGCCCACTCTTGGGTGCCATTGCTCGGAGGCCTACAGAATGTCGAGCTGTTTACGTCAAGTTGTGTAGCTTTGGGTCAGACTGCTACGCCACTGTCATGTCTAAACATTTGACATGTCACAGCCGGGTGCGTACGCGTGTAAGTAACCATAGGGGGAATTTTCGACTGAATAACTTTCGAGTCAAATCTGAAAAGGCAAACACACACACACATAATTACGACCAGCAATGGGCTATGGATCCTCAGGTCCGTGCCACAGTGGAATCCCCCGGCCTCTTCGGTCGACCAGCCGTCTTGGACAGAAACCATCTCCTGCAGCCACGGCCATCTCGAAGGAGCGTCCACAACTTTGATAAGCTGGGGCATCAAACGGCCTCCAGGACCCCAGGAACCCCAAAACCCTAAACAACCAGAGACCCCAGGATGACGATATGATAAACAGGATGTGATGGTCCCTGTCCCTGCTCTTCCCCTGTCCTGTCCATGCCGGGTTGATGCAGAAGAAGGGCTTCTCCCGTTTTCCCAGGCTGCAGGCATGGGCTGGAATCGATATTGAACTGCCGAGGTGTATCAGGTTTGTAAGCGGAACACTTGCCACAGCTAGTGTTAGACTGACCAAGATCATCCAATAACATGAGACAGAACAGCGGCAAAAGCAAGGAGAGCGGCAGCAGCGATGCGACATACTTCGGCGAGAGCCACAAGCACCACCGCCACTAGCATCAGCACTAGCGCCACCACCGTATTGCTCACTACTACCACCACCATACCGCCGCCACCTCCACTACAAGCACCACCACCACCGCCACAACCTCCACTACGGCTTGCCCTACTACGACGGTACTTCGACGATAATGCTCATTTCGCGGCCACTTGGTACCCTGTGCCTGCCATAAGGAGCCTCTAGCCAAAAGAGCTGCACCCAGAAGTCCCCCGATGCGGCGCCCATATACTGGGGATCCGGACATGCTCCGCTTTGTGTAGATCTGTTTTTAAGCGCTGCGAGCCTCGGTTGCAGGAAGCTGAAGGCGGATCGACTCATGGCGATGACAGTGTGGCGGTGCTGCCGTTGCACGGCCGTGCCTGAAATCTCGAAAGACCTCCTCTACAGAGCCCCAAGGGCCTGCAATAGGATTTGGGCTCTTTCCTTAATGCACCCTTGCTCCCCTAAGCCCTAAACCCTAAACCCCTTTCCTAAATGCACCCTTGCTCCAGAAGCTTCAAAAGTCCGAGCTTCCAGACCTGTTTTGCACTTTAAGGTTTTGGGATGGAGGGAAGCCTCAACGTTGAAGTGCTGTGAGGCGCATCTTTAGGCATTCATCTTCTAGTTAGCCCTTGGTGCTTCGCTGAGGCGCTTTTCCCAAGCCATCACAGGACATAAGCAGAGTCGACAGCCTGTCAAAAGTATGGACCTTACACGCTGGATTGGTCCGGCATGTGGCTTAATTACCCCAAATCTGAAGTCAAACTGCTCCTATATCCTGTCTAACTGAGGTCGCGGCGTGCATGCAAGAACTGAAACCGCCATTCCTGTTTGTCTGCAATGATGATGTCTTCCGTCTTCGTTCACGGGATTTCTGTGTAGCACGGAAAATCGTTCAGTCCGGTTTCCAGCTGTATTGATAAAGGGCATGTTTGCGATTCAGGGATAAGTAAGCATGTGCCGGGCACCGAGAAACCTTACAAGTATCCTCGTCTTACAAGCTTACGAAAGCCGTGTCGACAATCTGTCTGTCGGCAATGGTAATGCTAACCCCCCCCAGGTACCTACTATGTAGGGCCCCAGGGACTCTAGTACCCTATATAGTAGGTACCTGGGCGGTTAGGGTAATGCCATGGCAGCAATTTTAGGAAGCCGCTCACGGCCCAACCTCCAGAGTTTTGGCTAAAAGATGACGTGCAAACGCATGTTCATGGCGGTCTAACTGGGCCCGGCAACCTGCAAAATCTTCTTGAATCTCATGTTTGAAGCCTTGCATCCCAGTCGGTCTTAGTTGCAATTTTAAACATGCTGTGCAACGCTCCCGGGAGATCTTATTGAATCTTGCAGAACCTCAGAAAACATGCTTAGAGTTGTGGCAGGACACCAGTAACATCGTCTTAAGCGTTATTGTATTCCTGGAATGATCTCAAACCTTCGCCCCGGATTCGTGGGGCACATCCTGGATCCAGGGGGAATCCGACGCCACACCTCGCAGATCTCCCTTTACAAGCGTGCTCGGATGATGCACGGCCCTGAACCTAAACCCGAAACTAAACCCTAAACCCTGAACCCTATAAACTAAACCCTGAACCCTAAACCCTAACACCGAAACCATCCTAAACCCGGAAAGAACGAGAGCCTTCAGGAGGTTGCCGTGGCACTCTGCGAAGGGCATGCAGTGCTTCTCTTTGGAAGCCTTAGTAGGCACGATGCTTTTGCGCTGCAGTGCCGAGGCTGCCGGGTTTTGGGGGCTAATGTAGGGGCCTTAATGATTAGAACAGGGTTTGGGGGGTAAACTATGCCATAATTATAACAAGGAGCCCCCCCCAAAATAGTGTGGGTAATTATGTAGGCCCCTATATTGCAACTCAGAGGGCTCGAATTTGGGAGTACCGAGTCTTCGGGCATAGTCCTCGCACGTCCACGCCACAAGAAACACTCCAATGCTCTGTAGACGCAAGGTCTCCAATTTTTTGCTAGCAGAACGACATGCTACCTATGGTCTCCATTGTAGTTCCCTTAGTTTGGTTTAACCAATTGTATGTTAAGGATTTTACAAGGTAGCCTCAAAAAGGAACTACAATGGAGACTGTAGGTACTACTTGCTATATCAGTCGATTTTGCGTCGGCGACGGTTTTGAGTTAGGAGCCCTGGATGGACGGCTGAGGATAGCACGATAGCGACGACCACCTGGTCCACCTGGATGACGTCGTCGTAGTTCAGAATCAGCTGTCCATCCTGGATCGTCATTCCCCGCAACTTTAGCTGCTTTAAGCAACCCTGAAACCCATGAAGCCGAAACCCTGCAGCTCTCATAACCGTGATGGCATTGTCATGAGAAAAGAGATGAGCATGACGGTGCTAGTGATGTGGAAGTGAATGAGGAAGGAGCGATGAGGGTGCTTCCAAGCCGAAGCAGCGGCGACACGACCTTGGCTCTCCATGCTCTCGAACCGAAGCCCCACATATATATATATATATATATATGACCGCATATATATATATATATATATATATGTATGTGTGTGTGCCCCCCTCACCTGGGCGACTGCAATGAGCAACACGCCGCCACGGGAGTCCTTCAAAGTTGTAGGGTGCTGAACTTTGATCGCTCGATCTTCAGGAGTAGAGGTTCTGGTTGAGGCTTTTAGGAGGGTTTGGATTTAGGGCTCTTAGGGGAATCGCTTTCAGGGGGCATGGCTTTCGGCAACCAGATAGAAGCACACCTGGCCTGCTGGAACCTTGGAACAGTGAGCGTGTAGGGCCAGTCATGGTCTTAGCCGTCAGGTGCCAGCACGCTATAGTATAGTCGCTCACAGAAACTATATAGTAGATCGTGTACATGGAAATATCCATGTTACATATTCAGTTTGTGCTATCGCCATATGATAAACTGCTTTAGTAAACTGGGGGGATGTAGTTCTCTTGGGGGCCGGCTCCTGAGCGACGGCATACTCTTGGACTCTGACGTCGGAAGAGGGCTCAGAGTTCAGGGTGAAACCTACACATAAAGCCATGCCGAACTCTAACCCTTACAAGGTTTAGGGAGCCAAACTTCTTTAAGATATAAAGATACTACTTTGGTTCAGGCGGCTATTGAATTAGCCACCTTCACGTTTGCATCGCAAGTTAAGCTCCACTGTTTTCGAAATACTCCTCTGCCTTGTAGTGCTGCTTGCCAATTATACTACTTCCATTGCGATTACAGGCGATTACCGCCTAACCCTCAGTACTAGCAAGCCCGGACCTTTCCCCCTATTCTTCCCTAAACCCTAAACCCTAAACCCCTAAACCAAGCTATTCACGGGCAGGGGTGCTCTTAACAAAGTCACAGAGCCTCTCCTCGTAGACTTTCCGTGCCACCGCGGGAAAGGTCATGTTCGCCAGGTACGGGGAGATCACAAACCCGATGAGGCTCCTTAGTGCTCAGGGCCTGAACCCCCCAAGCACGAATCTCATAATCCCCAAAAGCCATTGTTGTCAGAACCCACTCTAAACCTTCATAAAACCCTATATACCTGTGCTATATCATGGTCCAGTGTGAAATTACAACCCCAGCCCTGGGTCCTGCTTCCCCGGAACCCTGACCCTTCTGAGCCAACAGCCTCTTCATGCTCTGCGCGTACTCCAACCTGCAAATCCCGTAACTATACTGAACTTAGACCCCTAGCAAAAATTATAATTTTAGCTGCTCCTTAGGGTTTATAGTAACCAAAGATTAAAAATTATTTCTAAGTACCCCTAAGGTAAGGGTGGGGGCGCGCAGCGTGCTCAGCTGAGTTAGCAGACTGTGATTTTTCCCAAGCCTTATACAGGAACCGTAACGGAAACCGACGAATCCATGGGCTTGCATTTGGTAAGCCTGGCATCTGAACTTCGTTGCGCGAAGTAAGGTTTTGAACAGGAGTACCCCCCGAAAGGACACCTCAACTAGACACCGTACAACTAATCCTCCTAAGAAGCCCCAGGTATGCTCACAGAGGCCTACTGGAAAACCATACTTCGGCTCTGGTTCATGCGAAAGTCTTGGATCCGGTTGAAGCCGAAATGCTCCACTGGACAATCGGGCAAGGTCTGGCGCAATCCTGTCCAGCTGAGGAGGAGGACAAGCAGGAGGGACGAAAATTGCTCATGATGGCGACCCTAAACCCTAAACCCTAAACCCCTAACCCCTAAACCCTAAACCCTAAACCCCTAAACCCCTAAACCCTAAGCCCTAAGCCCTAAACCCTAAACCCTTGGTTTAGGGTTTAGGGTTTAGGGTTCAGGGTTTAGGGTTTAGGGTTTAGGGTTCATGCTGGCGTTGATGATAGCGACCATGTCGATGACAGTTGCTAGAGCTGCTAGAACTAGTGCCATGACGGCACGAAGCAAGTGCTGCCTGCCTCCAATGTCTCTTGGCGTCCGCCCGACTCAGCTTCTCCTTAAAAGGGAGCCATAAGCCAGGCGTGGGAGTCTCTTCTGCATTGTCAAGACTTTTGAACTGATGGCATCCCCAAAACCCGAAGTTGATAATTCTGAATCGTCTGATTGGCAACCAGGACTTGCTCCAAGGCTTTAAGAGCTTCATGGCAGCGCCTACTGCAGGCGTTCGGCGTCACACGGCTCGATTCAACACATGCGCAACGAACCTAGAAACCCTCATACAAGACCCCCCCTTGCCGATGTAAATTGTTTCATGGAGTTAGTATAGGGGCCTGAAAAATTAGAATAGGGTTTTGGGGTATATTATACAACAACTATAGTAAGGAACCCCCCAAACTAGCATAGGTAATTGTTAAGGCCCCCCCCATATTACCTATAGTCTCCATTGTAGTTCCTTTTTGGGGATACCTTATAAAATCCTTAATATATACTTGGTTAAACCAAAAAAAAAAGGAACTACTATGAAGACTACAGGTAGGTCTTGGCACTCGGAGCTGCCTTAACTGCAGCCAAGAAGCGAGCTGGTCGGTGGAGTAGTGGTCCACACGCGACTGCCAGGGCCACCAAGCTTTCGGGCTGTAATGTAGGGCCTTAATAATCAGAATAGGGTTTTGAGGGTTCCTTATTATAATTATAGTATACTATCAGGGTTTTGGGGGGTTCCTTACTATAATTATAATATACTATCCCCCAAGCCCTGTTTGAATTATTACGGCCTCTATATTACTCAGCAGTCCATTTTCAAACAGGCGAGAAGCTGCAACATTTGGCAAAGGGTCTATGTCTCCAACCATGGCTTTGCCTCCAGGCAAACATAGCCATAGGCCCCACAGTAGTTCCCTTTTGGGGATTAACTAATAGGATCCTAAATATAAGCCACAAAAAGGAACTACTATGGGGCCTATGGGTAGACTACCTCTGACGAGTCTTCGGGAGAAGAGTGCCGCAGCAGTTCAGCTCATGGCCCAAGAACCCCAAAGCCCCAGTACGCACCCTTACCCCTAAGTCTCCATGTACCTTTATAGTAGATACTTCGGCCTTAAAGGGGTCCCTGTATAGGCATTTTAAGGCCTAAGTATGTACTATAAACTCATTGGCCCAAAACCCAAGGACATAAAAGTTGAAACTTTCAGAATCGACTACCATATAAGAACCCCAAAAGTTAAAAAGTTGAGTTTACAGCCAATAAGTAAAGGTACATGGAGCCTTAGGGCTTACCAGCTTGGCCTGCATCAGCCCGCTGAGAAACGTCACCAGGCCGACGATGTGCGTGTTCTTGGCAAATATCGCGCTCTTCATCCTTGGGGCTTTTCAGAACCAGGGCTCAAATTCGGTTAGGGTTTAGGGTTTAGGGTTTAGGGTTTAGGGGTTAGGGTTTAGGGTTTAGGGAGCAAGTTCGGCTATCAGTCTTCACGTCCCAACCCGCAATAGTGGCAAGCATTACCAGTAGCACTACAAGTAGCAGTGGCAGCAGCAGCAGCAGCAGCAGCAGTCCTCGACGTGTTAGCGTAGCCGAGGCTGCTACAGCGACCTTCTGCAAGAAACCAACAGTCTTCAGACGAGACGCCTGAAGCTCTTATAGTAGCCATTCAGCAGCAAGCCTTGTAGTAATATAGCAACCCTACAGCTACTCTTCTAGTAACCCTTATAGTGACCCTTCTAGTACCGATATGGTAACCCTTGTAGCTTGAACCAACCCTTAAAGTAACCCTTCTCGACCTGATAGCAGCCCTCTCAAGGATCCTTAAAAGGCCAGGCGGCTCGTGAGCGGAGAAGCATCGCGGAAAAGCAATGCTGAGCAAAGCTGCGTTCTTCGCACCTGCCGCAACGGTTCAGGGCTTATAGGGTTTAGGGTATTTATAAGAGCTTAGGGCTCAGGGTGTAAGTTTGGCGTCTAGACGTCTAGATCTCTTGCAAAACCAGGTGTCCAGAGTATATGTAGATGTGCCCCATCACGAATGCTTTCTCTGGCTACACACACATATCCATGATGATGTGTGCAAGAACACATACATTCTGCACAGGATATGTGCACATGAACATCGACGAAATATGAACTTGCACATGTGCTCTAATGATGCGTGCACACATGTGTATATATATATATATATATATTAAATTTATATACATAAATATATATATATATATATACATATATATATATATATATATGATTCGAAATGATTAGAAATGCGTGTGTATGGCTGTTTATGGGGTACATGAAGGGTGGAGGAGAGAGCGAGAGAGGCGAAAACCCCTGAGGCCTCAGGCCCCAAAGCCCTAAACTTTGAAGCCCTAAACCGCCCTATTTCTGAAACCCTTCAAAGTTTAGGGTTTAAAATTTAGGGTTTCGGGTTTATAATTTAGGGTGTAGGGCTTAGGGTCTAAAGTTTAGGAGTAAAAGCTCTAAACCCGGAGCCTTCAGGCTCCAGCAGCATGATCCGCAATCGGAGACCTGTCAGTGTCAGCGTGTTTTTTTTTGTGCGGGGCCCATGGGGCTCTTAGGGTTTAGGGTCTAGGGTTTTTTAGGGTTTAGGGTTTAGGATTTTTTAGGGTTTAGGGTTTAGGGCTTTTGGATTTTAGGACCATGAGTTGGGCTGAAAGAGCACTTAGGGGGCTTACGGCCTCTCGAAAGCCTAGGGCCTAGCCATAGGCCCCATAGTAGTTCCTTTTTTGGGGGGTTACCTTATAGGATTCTAGGCATGAACCCCAAAAAGGAACTACTATGGGGCCTGTGGGTAGGGTTTACAATCTTTCAGGGCTCAGACCGTGCACTGCTAGCATTGAGTTGCTGTAGAATGCAAGTACATATCAATCCAGACAATAAACCTGCAACCTGCTCGTGTCCCGCATGTATGTCTATCGGCATGTCAAAGAAGCTCTGATCTACAATCTGCATGTGAGCGGATATGTTCTGCACAGCTCGTTCTTGGGCTTGCTAGGTGCTGGCTAGGTGAGCCGAAAACTGAACCCAACAAATCAATCCAACCACAAGCCTGTAGACGTCAGTGGCCCACTCTGGACGAATGAACCATCATCTTTATTCGCCAGATCCGAAAAGGCAGCGTCCAGGGCCCATATTCCTTTCTCAAGCAGAACAGCTGAACCACTTTTGAGCGTCCGACCGGGGAAGTGACGAGACATGGTGAGCGCCATCATCACGCTGACAGAGTCCTTCAAGTTCCGGCGATCGAGATGGGGCTTCAGGGCTTCGAGGTCTCGCGTTCAGGATTTCGAGGTGTACCGCACCAGCGGTGCGTCTCCAATCTAGGCACAAATCCGACTCGGAACTACGTAGCGCAGAAGCCTCGCTTAGGAAAGGATTCGCGAAAGACAGTATTCAGGCAGAGCCCCGAACCCGAAAACTTAAACTCAACAACAACCGTTCTTGACACTTCTCCGCCCTCTCAGATCCATCTTGCAGCCCGCTCAACCTACAACTCTCATACTCCTGCCGAGGGACAAGCCAGTTCCTCTGAAAACTTGTGCTGAACCCTCCTCTTCGCTCTTGACCCTCTTGTCGAGCTTGGGCCCTACTCCAGGTACAGCCAAACCCGACGAAATTCTGAACCCTCAAACCCCCAAACATGAATCCGTAAAGCAGAGCTTCGAACCCCACATCTGGCAGGAACAAAAGAAGCCACATGTGTTGAACGATGCCACAGACCGGAGGCCCAAGAGCTGATGGATGCTTATGGTGAATCTTATCCGAAAGCCCTACATGCTAGGCACCTCAAACCCTCTATACCCTGCACTATTCCCCGTCCTCCGTCGCCGGGCTGTTTGTGTCAACTGAGCAGCTCAACTCTTGTCACGTCACGCACTCTGAATATGGTACAGTATTACAGGACAAAGACAGCGACTTGACTAAATGAATCGAGCTGTAAATATACATGCTCAAGAGTATAAATATAGGTCGACATGAAGAAACAATTTTACATACATATATAGGTATATACATATAGAATATATGGCTCAGCAGGGGCCGGTGCCCAAAGTTTAGGATAAAAGCAGACAGGCGGTCTTTAAACCATCAGAGCCATTCGACGCAGTGTTGTCAACATCACGGCTTCTAACTGCCTAGCTTGCCTCAATGGTTTAGGGTTTAGGGTGAATGTTCATGGTTGCTTCGATACAGTCGAATACCAAGTTGATTGAGGTAGGTATCTGGCAAGGGCAGTTCTGCAAAGGGGTTCAGCGTTTGGGGTTTGTCTGGCGCCGTGGTGTTTCCTTTTGTTCTATGGCTGCTGTTGGCAGAGCTGCTTCGGCTTTGGCCCTTGCGTGCTTAGTCGGACCAGAACATCCTAACTTGCCATGACAAGGCCCGAACCTTCTGCAGTAGCGTCACTCGATGCCCTAAGCCCCATAAGTCCACAAAACCCAACTCAAAAACCCGAAGCTCTGTCGCAAAGACCTACCCAAGTCCTCAACCACACTATCAAGTAGTTAAGGTCCTATACAGCCTATAGACCCTAAACCTTCAACCCTCCCCCAAAACTCCTACTTGTGCACGAGAGCACAGGGTGACCCTCAACCCTAAACCCTCAGCTCTATAGAC